CTAACACACTCTATGTATTCCCCATCTCACTCTATATGAATTCCCTATCTTCCGCTTGAATTTGCTTCGACAATCCCATTTTCATTTCGCTATTTTATCCAAATGGGCAACCAAAACCCGCGCACGAAAGTGCATCGTTAATGGTTGTAAAAATGAAACTGAAACTGACCCAGAAGTTCCCATACGGGTGGTTCGTTCACGCTCCCGCGTTGGATTTACGCCACACTACCTTGTGGGTTAGAATTTTGAGATGAAGGTTACGGTGAGGTTTCAGTTTCAGTTTGGACAACCATTACCTATGCACTTTTGTGAACCGGTTTTGGTTGCTGTCTTTTGGTTACCCATTTGGATGAATAATCCGAGAAGATAGGCCAGTCAAAGGTAGAATCGAACAGAAAACGGCTATTAGTATAGAGGGATCGTGATATTGAGATAAACTTTTCGGCCCCCCTCCTCCAAGGAAAGGCAACGACAGAATTTAGAGCGGACAATACAAAGGCTGCCTGGGGCGGGCGGCGGTGGAGCAGTTTGAACCCGGGATATCCAGGTCACTAGTTGATGACCTCACCACTTGGCCACCACCGCACTGACGTACGGCGCACAGTCAGCTACTGACTAAAATCCTGTCAAGGAGCGCGCGTCCAGCCGTAGAGCAATCACAACACCGCGAGCTTCGGACGCCGAATCGCCTGATACACGAAGGGTGGAGTATGAGGTTGAGGTTGGATCAGGAGAATGCAGGGAGATAATTAATAATAATAATAATCTTGTATGCGTGTTTCGGAGACACAGTGTACATCCAAATTGAAAATGTCATGGGTTCTGGCGAAGGTAGCTGGTGTACCGATCTGATAGTGTGCGAACATTGAACGCGGCCAAGTGAAAAGGGAATTTCGGTTTCAAAAATCCTGTAACTTCTGATTGTTCGGACTTGTTGGTAAAGCGCTGAGTGATATACGATGGGTCTTGTAAACAGCAGAAGTTTGGGATTATTTTTGATTAAGAGGAAGAAGATGAGAAGTATGGTTTTCCAAATAACTGCCTAAGACTCTAGGGCACGACACGCTTCACGGTAGCCCACATCGACGAAGGGGTTTCTTTTTAAGAACCCTAACCGGAACCTTTGAATTAAAAGTCTGACCCGCCTGGCAGCGGGAATAGAGCAAGTGGATAAATTTTGTTATCTGGGCAGCTACGTCTCACCCGGTGGACGCATCGCGGATGAAGTGTCAGCTTACATACAGAAGGCTCGGTTAACATTTGCCAACTTGAGACATCTGTGACACCGTCGCGACATCCGGCTGTTTGTGAAGGGTCGATTGTAGGCTGCAGCAGTTCGGCCAATTCTGCTACATGGAGCAGAAACTTGGTCATTAAGAAAACAAGATAAAGACAGACTGTCGGTGTTTGAACATTACTGTCTAAGCAGCATTGCACGAATCTGGTGGGGCACCCGAAGAACAACGCTGATATAAGGTGCAAAGTTTTAGACAACCGCGGTCACCCACTGGAGCAAGTGGTCGACCTCCATAGATTACGTTGGTTGGGGCATGTGTTACGCATGTCACCAACTGGGTTACCACGGCGAGCGATGTTCGTCGAAGCAGATACCGAGTGGAAAAAGCCGAGCCTGGTGAAGCTAAGACCTGGCACGAGCGTATGGAAACCCTAACCAAAAGGTTGGGTCATACAGGTCCTGTTAGGCTTCCTGGCTGGGGACCTCGGAATGATCGTACGCGATGGTTCGAGACACTGAGTGATATGGCTGGGTGTCGTAAACAGTGGCGTTCGTGCATCTCCTCAATTCCTTTGCAACTTTAGACCACTGAACTTCTCCATTTTCTGTTCGACCCAAATGGGCAGCCAAAAGACAGCAACCGAAAGCGTCGCACCGAAATGCATGCCTAATGGCTGTTTAAATTGAACTGAACTGAACTATGTAATGAAAAACAGTTCGTTTGGATGTTTCCGTATAAGAACTAAATCTTCACGGTGGTAGCACTGTAATCTCGTGAAACGTTCGTCAATGAAAACCGTTTAAAATCGCATTTGGACAGACAGTGATCACAGAATGGAGCATTATTTTTCCATAGAGATAACGATCATGGCGAGTTGCCACAGGCGGTATATTTTATGTATATTATTTATGTCCAATACTGTGGGTTGCTCATCATAGAAATTTCGTTCAACGGGATGTGATGAACACCTATTTTTATTTATTTTATTTCTTATAGACTGTAATCACATGACGAAAACGTTACAACTGAGGAGCTATCAATTGTGTTTGTGGGTTTGTTTCCCAGTTGGTCGGGTCGATGGATTTGCCGTACTGATGAAACCGAAACAGCTGTACAGAGTGCTGTCTAGCTTTCCATTTCAAGCCAGATTTACGCGACGTCTTCATCATATAATCCAACCAATTACTCTGATATAATTCAGGTTTCATGAGCCTCCGAAATCCTCAGTATGGTCGAGGTGTGGTGTCCAAGGTTGCGGCTGATCATTCTTCCCTTGCACCTCGCGAAATGCTCCCATACGACCAAGCGCCTCAAATAGGCTCTGCTGAGGAAGCCCTACTCACTGCCTTCTCGTGGCGGACGTGTTTCCCCACCAAAGTGAGAGGACGAAAATCCGACATCCGGGGCTATGACCGGTTCGGTGAACCACTGGTAGTTTGCCTAAGAGAGTTGGCCAAAAACCCCTGATTCCAAACCAAACGAGTAAGAGGCGTACGAACCACACAAAACATCCTGGTTGTGGCANCAGTGGTCGACTGGGTAACTCTTGCAACGGCCCAGGAGTAATCTGGACTCCTTTTCGTATTAACCGGTTGCGTTTCCTGGCGACAGTATCTCATACAATTGGATGTTTAGAACAATCTTTATTTCAATACGTAACCAATTACAGAGAGCTGGTAAATGTGTTCACAGGTTGTGTAGGCATCTTAATTCTCGGGGTCCTTATCCGAAGCCGTTGGCTAGAAAGACAGACCTGCAAGACAACAGGACGGAGCTCAGAGTCTGCAGTCCGTTAGGGGGAGGGGGCGTGGTGTACAGGTCATCGAATCATACGCCCTTTGAACGGGGTCAAACGTCCAAGGTGCCCAAAACATCTTGATACCCAATTGAGCTGGTGACCACTACCACAATTAGGAAGATATGGGTGTACGATTCATATACCTCCTCTTTGTTTATTGGTTTGGAATCAGGGTTGTTAGCCAAACCCCCTAAGTGAGCTGCCAGTGATCCACCAACCCGGTTAGAGCTCCGGATATTGGCTTTTCGTCCTCTCGCTTTGCTGGAAAAACACCTCCGCTGCAAAAAGGAAATGATTAGGGATTCTTCGATAGAGGCTGCCTGGTGGTATAGGAGCATTTCCTGAGGTTCAAGGGAAGGGTGATCATCTACAACCCAAGAAACCCACTCCGATCATACCGAGGCTTACGGAGGCCACGACACGATCATTATGCTGCAGAGCTGGAACTCATCAAAATGATATTCACGAACGATTTGCGTTATAAACTTACTTTCAGTTCATGCACTAAAGAATCCAGTTCATCCCGGGTGGCTATATCACGTGCGGCTATTAACTGACGTTCTAGTTGAAATGTACCTATGGCAAAAAAACGTAATTCATATGAGAACGGGCAATCGAAAACAGACAAGAAGTAATGCAATGAATGTGAAATAAAATCATTTGCAAACATCAGGTATTGTGGCTTCGACAATGGGGCGATTTCACAATTGTCACCTCGCGCAAGATTCGACGAACAAAGGTGGACACGAAGTATTATCATCACACTACTATCTATTTCAAAAGTAATTCGAGTCAGAAAGTGAAAAGAATTGCTTGTGCTTAATGCCAAAGACTGCCTAAGAAATGGAAGCGTGTGCAATATCTATGGAAAAAACTTACACCTCTGAACGGATCGCAACTTCGCTTCAGCTTCTTGAATATCCAGTTTAACATCTGAAAACATAACAATCAAAAATTAGAAAATTCAATATCAGATTTCAAGTCGTGAACGAGTGAAATACAGAAAGATTGCATGCATCCACAAGGTGAATTCACTGGTGGTGGTTGTTCGAAGATGGTAGAAAAAAACACAAGCGAGACGAAATAGGCAAAATGAAAGTCCATTGTTAGCGGTGGCACCGCTCGGTACCATGTGAGCACAATATAGAACTCAAGTTTGAATTGGGAGCACGGACAATTACTTGACGCACATTTCACAAGTTCGTTACGTAAACAGTGGCTTGCGTGCGATAACATATTGCCATCAGTGCTTAAAAGCAGGAAAAGCAATAAACATAGCGTTAGTTACACTACCACATTGATATGGAAGTCAGGGGAGCCTGGAGCTCAGGGTAAAATCAACCTTCAGTATGGATAAAAATATGAAACAACAAAACCAGTAGTGGAAGAAAATATGCAGTCACTCTCTACAAAGAAGTGATTTTTTTGAGTCCGATAAATAGGAAAACCCGACAACCATTGAACAAATATTTTCAGAGTAGAACAACAAGGAACCGTTGTCGCAGAATAAGACAAAAACTTTCAATATCGGCCCGGGGTCAGTCTCAGTTTGAACAACCATTAACCATGCACTTTCGTGGCATCCTAGGCCCCGGGACTTGGAATGGCGAACCACATAAGGCCCTGTTAGGTCAGGTGTGGTATTGAACCGAAAGACTGCAAAGCTGCCTAACACCAAAGGTGAGTATCGGTGGTGGGGATCGAACTTCAGATCACAGGGTCCAGAACACGCCGGTGACAGTAAATAAACCATTGAGCCACCACCACCAGTTACCATGGTCTCGGGGCCCCTATCCAAGGAACCTAATGCGACCTTAATGACTGAGTCTCCTGGTTAGGGTTTTTATACCCGCATGCCGAATCTTAGTTTCACCACTCATGGCTTTTTCCATCCGCTGTTTGTCTCGGCAAGCAGCCCGCGCCATGGTAACCTAGTTGGAGACATGCGCAATACATGTTTCA